ATTAAAATAACTCTGTCTATTTCAAATTCTAATTTTTTCTTTTTTTTTTTTTGGTTTTAAATTAAAAATGCAAGTATTACCCATTGAATGTAAATGTTTAACTTGTGCTTCATTTAATGTTTCTGCTAAAATCCAAATAGAAGCTAATTGTCCATATAAACTACTCGATTCTCCAAAAATAGCATCTTGACTATTAGGTTCAATTATGATTACATTATTTTGTCCATTAAGTAATTGATTTTCTGGACGTATATTCGGTGTTTTAGGTTTTGATGAAAATAAACCTTTAAATGGTTGCATTGTTTTAGCAATTGTTGTTGATATATGTAATGAATCATTTTTTGCATTCATTGTTAATAAACGTGGTCGTTGACTAGGTGCACCAATAGAAGCTAAACTTATTGGATCTTGAATTAAAGGTATATATTTAAAATCTTTTATTTGTTTTTTTAATAAACCATCAATATAAACTGTTAAATAACATGTTGATACTGCTTGAAATGCAGCAACAAATAATGAGGGTCGTTGTGCTGTATGAATAATTGTTAATGAATGCCAACAACCATCCATTAATTCATCACAATCATTTATTTCAATATATGCAAGTTCACGACGATCATTAACTAATACATATATTGATGAATTGCGTATAAAAGATTCAAGACCAATAGAATCTGAATAAAATGAATAAATTTGACGACGAACATCATATGAATAACTTTCTAATTCATGATTTAGTCTTAACCAACAATGAAATGAAAAATGTAAAGATGAAGATGATATTGATGGCCAACGACGTATAACTGGTAAAATAATTCCCTACAAAAAAAAAAAAAGAAAAATAATAATAAATTTAATAAAGATAAAACTTAAGAGAAAAAGAAAAAAGGTTTTTTTCCATTACACTATTTGCTCTTTGTAAATCAAAATATGATGATATTGTTTGTGTATCAGGATCATCATGTTTAGCTGCTGTAATTAAAATACGTAATAATTGTTTTTTAAATGGTGTATTTTCATTAAATAATTGACAAATATGACGAATTTCTTTTGTATTTATTGAAAAACGTGCTAATTTTTCTAATATTGAAAAAATATTATCAAGTAAAATTTTATCATTAAATTTATTGAAAAAAAGTATATTAATTAAAGAATAAATAATATTATTTGAGCAAGCCATCATTTTATTTTGTAATGAACGTGATACAATTATATTTATTGAATGTATAATATGATGTTGATGAGATATATCTATTATATGTGGTATCCAATGTATTAATATAACAGCTATATGTGGATTAATAAAATGAACTAATATATCAACAGGTGTTAATGAATTATCAATTTGTAATGAAGTTTTTTCTGTCATAAGTATAAGTAATTGATTTATAAAATCTATTGTTGGTGAATGTACATGATCAAGAAAATGAAATATTTTTTCATAACCATTAAAATCAAGAAATTTTTCTTGAACATTTTCTGAATTAATAAGAAGTTCAGAAATAAATTGAATAATTGATATAATATTATTTTCATTATTTGTTTCATTAATTAATATTTCATAAATTATTTCTAAACATTTTGCTTTAAGAAATTCAATTTTTAATGCAGCACGATCAACATAATCACGTAAAAGATTTGTTAATAAATGAAATGTATTTGATAAATTTATTTGTTGATCTTGTTTAATTAATTGAAAAAATTCAATAAGATATTCAGTTAAATCATAACGTCGTTGATCAATACTCGTTTGATGAAGTGTTCGAATTGTTGTAATTATTTCATCGACATTTTGTTCGTCGATTAACATTGTTATTGAATGTTTTTGTTTGGCTGTTGTTTTTTTTTTAAAATGCGCCCAAGCGCAAAAAAATCAAGGGAAGGAAATCAAACAAGTTTATATCACAGATCTAAAAACTAATTGATGGATTTTATTATCTCGTATTCATATAAAGAATGGAACTGATACATATATATTAGTTTTTTTTTTTGGTTATCTTTCTTTTTTTCCGATAATAAAATAACAATAAAAGAGAAAAGTAAAAGAAAATTCCATTATGGAATGTCTAACGTTTCTTGCCTTTGCCTCCACCTTGTTGATTTTGTTGCTGTTGTTGTTGTTGTTGATTTCCACTACGTGTTTTTAATTTTGGTATCATTTCAACAAGATAAAATAATAAATCATCTTTTGTTTTAAATTGTTCCTTAACTAATGATTCATCACCATTTTTTAATTGTACACGAACTCGACCACGATATTGTGGTTCACGTGATTCTTCTCGACAATATAAACGATTTGCTTCTACAATCGCTTTTAAACCAGCATTCTCTAATATATCACGTATTTCATTAACCGATGGATTGTCGACAGCTTTTGATTTGCTAACACGACGGCCTTGTGCTCGTGTTTTTTTTGCATTTATATAAGCCGGATAAATACAAACAAAACGACATTGATCAGCATGTGTTGCCGAATTCGGAAAAAATGGTTGAGTATTACGTTCACGTTGTGATATTGATGAATAACTAGTTGCCATCTAAAAGAACAAAATATTTTTTTTTCCCTATGCTTATCAATTACAGATAATCAATATTTCAACAAAAAAAAAAAAAGATGAAAAAGAGCAGATGAGTATTGATGAGTCATTCACTACTATAGAGAAAAAAAGGTAGAACAAAAAATACCAAGCAGAGCAAAAAAAATAAGCAAAAAATAATAATGATATGCTTAGTGAGTCACTCTCAATTATTGTCTAAATATATAAATATCTAACAAGGTTATTTTCATTTTATAAAGAATATTTTAGAATAAAATGACTATAAAAATTATTTTTAGATGAAGATAAATATATAAGAAAGAAAATTAGAAATAAACATAAAAAGAAAAAGAAAATAGTTTTATGTATAATTTGTAAATTTTCAATATTAAAAATAAGAATAAGACTCTTTTTCTATCACAGACAAACACATTTTGTAAATATTTTATTTCTACAATGATCATTGAAGTTCTTCTATTGTCGTTATTCTTACGATTACAAGAGCAAATAATAATAGAAAACGTGTGTGTATTAATATAAATGATGAATTGTTCGATTTCAAATAATAATAATAATAATGTGCTGTTTGACCTTCTACATAAAGTTTACAAGAGAAAAAAAAAATATACATATATATATATATATTGTTATTTTTTGTATCATATGCTTTTATTTCTTACTTAATATTCCATATGAACTTAACGCATTGATTTCACCTGGACTACATATATAACTATTTTTTGACGAGTATCATTAACAATTGCATAATTTATATGAATAGGTTATCAACGATGAATTACAAATATTAACATTGATGTTGTTTTTTTTTTTTATTTATTTGATATTGATTGTAGACATTATCAACCATTGAAATTATACACGATGCTTTGGCTTTTATGTGTTTTAACTCATAAATAAATATTATCATATTTTAATGCTTGAATTATTTAACGATAAACTTTACTATTTTCAAGTAGAAAAAAAAAACCATAATTCGGATAAATAAATAATTGAAACTGTCGGATCAATAAAAATGAATAAAACAAACTAAAATAGAATAAAAGGTTCTATTTATCTGTTTGATAATTTTTCTCAAATTTGATTATATTCATTTATTTTTTGAAACACAATCTAAAAGGAGTGTTGAAGCATATAGGATAGAAATTTGTACCACATTCCCCCCCCAACAGACCGTAACAGACGTTGTTAATATACGATCGGAGACTGTATATCAATAACATCTGGTAATAATATATGACCTACTACCTTATTTCATTTGTTGAGGATTAAGTAAAATGATGATAAAGAAATGTCTCGCAAAATAGATCGAATAAAACAATCTCCATGTGATTAGCAAGAATAGCTACATCGTGTTTCATATTTTAATCCCATAGAGATTGTGCTAACAGCTTTTTTAATGATACATTCAATATATATTTATTCCCAATCAAATCAAAATTATATTTGATTATGAAAAGTAATAAAAAAAATTTTATTTCAAAGACTAATAAATTACTCTTTTGACGTACTTTTTCTTTATATTAGACAATCATAAAACTTAAGATAAGATTTTCAATATCAAAATATATTCTGTCTACTTATTTTAAAATGGAAATTAAATTAATTTAATATGTTTACTATTCCTCTTTTCTTTTTCTCATGATAATTTCAAATAGCAATTCAACAATCAATATGAAATTAAGAGACTGTTATATTAATGTCCACTTATGTTTTTTTTTTAAACTAAGAAAATAATAATCTCAACTTACTATTGCATAAAAATAATAATAACAACAGTGGTATTTCATTATCGTCGTCGTCTTTAGTGTGTTAGCATCAAAATACTAAATAATTTATCTTCGAGAAAAAGAAAATGAAAAAAAAAAAGAGAAAGCATCCTTTTGTCAATGACATTTATGAAGATGAATCGTCTCTGTTTATATTCTTAAATGTTTTGTATATTCACACATATCATTAAGAAATCAACACGTGCTGCCTGACTTCTCGCCATATAAGACTCATTTTCTAGATAGAAAACATTCTATGCTTATGACTATTAATTTACAGTAGATGTAAAACTCTTGAAAATGAAGTATATGTATTTTTATAGTAAGAACGATGAATAATGAATATTCAAGTTCAAGCATGCGGTGAAGTAAAAGAAAAGATGAGATATACTTTGAATAAGCATAAACGAACATTAAACAATTTGTTAGTAAAAGCAGATTACATAAGGATATTTCTTTTTTCTCCTTTAATTGTGTACATATGTTGCAAGAGAAATACATATTCAGAACAATTTTAAATTCACTCTAGAATTTCTAAGAGAATTTAAAATTTCAATCTCGCCTGTAATATATATATATATATATAAGAGAACTTCGATAAAAGCAAATGAAAGAAGAGTGATAATAGCAGTAGATCAAATGAATAAAATATAGGAATGCAATTGTTTAAATTGAGATAGAGAGAAATATTTGTCTTAAATATGAATATGAATTTACAATCTTGTTCAATAATTCATAAATTAACTGCTAAGTTACCTCATTTAGATAATGGCATTTGCAAAAATGACTACTGGTGGTAGTTAATGAAAATATATAAATAACACATATAGACAGATAAAAGGTTAATCAATAGAAAAACTAAATAAACATCAATAGAACAGTACATCACAAATGAGTTGCATTCAACAGATGGTTAAATAGTATAAGTCACCTATTATAGAGTAATAAGATCAACTGAGAAGAGACGAATAGATATTTATTCGATTCTTCTCCAGATTGACGACACCCTATACAATAATTTATCTAACCGATAGAGCATATCAAAGAGTGTCGGTGTTGGTCGTGGTGTCACTGATCTGGAAAACCATCCTTCTTCGGATTAGATACATCCTATATACAAATTGCTGACATAGTACTAGGTGATGGTGAACAAATTTCTGTAACATGAATAAGTATCATTGATTTAAGAAAATATATAAATATCTAAAAAAAATTGACTCAATCAATAATAAAACGAAAGAAAAAAATGTTTAATTATTATGTATCTGTAATTCAATTGATAAACAACAGAAAATAATAAAACACAATCTTATATTCATTCATAAACACAACGTTGAGAAAAAAATATCGACGTATTAGTCTTTATGGATAGGTTAAAATAAATAGCCAATCAAAAGAAATAAATGAACCTCTACGTTAAATTAAAATAGAGCAAAAAAACAATCATGTGCATATACACAAGTATAAAATCCAAATAAGAATTCTTAAAACTATTGAAAAACAGATCGACTTATATTTCTATAATACAAATCAATCTGCTAGTCTCAACTCTTGCTTTTCAGCAATCGATTTCTTGTCGAAAATTAAATTAGAATGAAATAAATATAAATAAATATGCTTGAATAAAAATTAATTTAAAAGAAATGCAGATTATTTTCGCCGACGCGTTTTGTGTTATTTATTTCAATAATAAAACACTCTTCAGGGCTCTGTATTTACAATAAGAAGCAAAAACGGAATTCAAATTAATAATGAAAATAAAAATAAAAATAACAACTTAAAGGAAACAATCGGAAAAGAAATGGTAGCATTCTAAAAATAATATCACTTATTTGTCTTTGAAGATATAGATGGATAATATCCGATTTCAATTTTTAATTTCTCTTGTTTAAATGGTAGCACCTTAAAGGATAGTATTACTTATTTGTCTCTGGAGATATAGGTGGATAATATCTGATTTCAATTATCTCAAATGTCACATGGGTATTTAAAAAGCAATCAGATAAGTAATATTTATTTTGTAATTCCCATGTATCAAATCAAAAATGTACAAGCCATACAATACCAATTTAAACTAAGCTTGTGCTACGTGTATCATGAGCTATTGATCAGAAATATAGTATCATCTACACTACTGGCCATAAATCCCTGGATGTGTGATACTCCCTCATAAC